TGCCATAAAGATACCTTAAAGATACACTAAAGAAACCCTGAAGATACACTAAAGATACACGAAAGATACACTAAAGATACACTAAAGATACACTAAAGATACACTAAAGATGCACTAAAGATGCCCTAAAGATGCCCTAAAGATACCTTAAAGATACCTTAAAGATACACTAAAGAAACCCTGAAGATACACTGAAGATACACTAAAGAAACATTAAAGAAACATTAAAGATACATTAAAGATACATTAAAGATACATTAAAGATACACTAAAGATACATTAAAGAAAACCTAGAGATACCCTAGAGATTGTCTGGGTATGTTGAACTCGCTTCGTGTTACAGGCCTCTCTTCATTCTTATTGTAAACTAGTGAAATATCACAAGCACAAGCGTTTGATTGTTCAGGTTTAAAACTCACAGCGTTGACATCCATCTGTGTTTTGTTCCCTGAAAAGACAAAAAAAGAGTTGACTTAAGTTTCCACTGTGTACATCTTATTTATAACAATGACGTCTGTGAATGTTCTCACCTTTAGTTCTCTTCCATACGTAGACCGCCACAACAATCATTACGAGAGTTGCTAAACCCAAAATGATGAACCTCCACCAACCTGGAAATAAGAATAAAAACATTAAAAACATTTTGTCTGTAGCATTCTGTCTATTTAAAATCCTGTAGCTCAGAGAAAATAAATGAACATTTCCAACGTGAATATCTCGTCCCACAGCCAAGTGTTGGTCTGACATTCATACTTCATGCTTCATGAAGAGAGAAAGACGTAAGATGTTAAGTCTCTACCTGCTGTTGTTGGAGGGTCGTTGTTTGCAGACGGTGTATCGTTTCTCTCCACTGAAATTACAAAACACACATCAGGATAAAATACCTCGTGTTCAACAAGAGAGAAGAAACAATGTGACGTTAAAATGTAAAAGTCATGAAATAAAAACAACCGTACCTGTGTTCTCAAATGAGGACTGGGGGCCGGCTTTACACAGCAGCGTGTTTCCAGTCTGTCTGTCTGTCACATTACACTTCAGTAACTCGTAATACTTTGACTTCTGATTAGGATGAAGAGTTTTAAATATCACAGTGGCTGAACAGTCACTCTGTGATGTCTCCACATCATTCTCATTCCCCTCATACAGCCACTTTACTGTGTGTTTACACCCAGTGTGTGTCAACACAGAGCAGGACAAGAAGACCGTATCATTGAATGTCTGTTCCTCCACTGGTGAAGAAGTTCATAATGAGAGAAAGACAACAAGAGTAACATTAACTTCATCACAGTAATCTGAATTATTGTAATGTTTCAGTGTATTGACAGTTTGATCTGAAAACATTATGATGTAAATACTCACTGTTAATAACAGACAGAACAACCGGAGCATCGTGACCTTGTTGTTTTCCTGCTTTGTACTGTCTGCAGGTGTAACGACTAAAATCTGCAGCTGTTACATTTCTTATAACCAGAGAACAGTCTGCTGTCAAACCCAGTCTGTTGGATTTATCTTTGGTGATCACATTATTATTAATCACCCCAAGTTTAATCAGCTCTGCTGCTGATTCACCAGAACGACTGAAAAGCCAAACAGTACCGTTACATTTGTCTTGATGTTTTATCTCTTTGTTACAAGGCAAAGTGACGTCATCTCCAGCTCTGGTGATGAGGGAGGATGAGGTTTGTCCAGTTACTGCTGTTGAAGACATGAGGAAATATAAAAAATGTGTGATAAGAATAAAGCTTTTTAGTTTACAGTTATATGTGATGATGATATTAATAACAAACAATATCAAATGTCCTTTTACAAGAATCCACTCGACACAAACTTGGTCGTTTCACTTAAATCAAGTTCCTCAAATACCTTCAGTCACGTTTCTTTTAGTCGTGTATGTGTTTTATATTCTGACCTGTGAACTCAAGCAGCAGCAGCGTCACAAATAAAGTCATTTGAATCCGTCTGACTTCAACCATCGTGTGTCTCTGTCTCTTGTTCTCACGCCTTCAACTGTCAAAGCTTCTGACCGAGTGTTTCTTTAAGAGACGCAGCGTTTACTTCCTCTTATTAGTAAAGCAGCACTTCCTTATCCTGACGTGGAATCTTTTCTTATGTTCATGCAGAGAGATCAGCCTTTCATCTCTCTGAATGTCTTGTAGATAATAATCTAGATATCAATATAGATATATAGATAAGAAGATAATATAGATATTTAAAAACAGCTCACACTTCCTTCCTATTGTGGTGTTTTGGAGTCAAATGCAAAATAAACCATGATGATGTTTGACACACTCATAAACACATAAGTTAGTCAAACTCTACGCCCACCAGAACATGAAGCCCATGCTGCAATATGCTCATACTGGTTCATAGTGACGACATCTTAGTGCTTTGAGGAGTTTGTTCCTCATTGCAGCGTCTTGATATCTTCTTAGAACTGAAGAGGAAGTGTTCTGGTGGGAATGTGGGAAACAACAGCTATGATACAGTTATAGAAAACACGATGCATGAGTCGTTATGAAGCACATTTTTTATTTGCAGACTATATAATTCTGAGTCATAACAAAGAGACTCTATTAAGGCTGACAGCTCATTCAAACCAACACAACAATGTGAACAAAATAATATATATATATATATATACTGGACTAACAGCAACATGTTTACAGCCGTGTTATGAATTAAAATGAATTAATCTCTTGTGTACACAAAGAGACTCAAAAACTTGTGCAAAGCTTAAACTCAAAGGTGCTAAATTAATATTCGTCAGCATATCTTTGCAGAGCAGAACGTTGTTTTATATTATATTAATGCTCAGAATGTCAAATAAAGAACATATGAAGAGCAATGAGAACAATCTTGATGTAAAGTTTAAATTGTTAAACTGGAAGAAAATTTAGACTTAAGTTTTTTATACGCCTGAGAAAATACTCAACATTATATTAAAAGGTTTATTGGTTCTTTTGTGAGCGGATGATGTTGATCAGTGGAGTCTGACAGAAGCAGAAGGTTCTCCAACATTCTCATAGGTCACTGTACCTTCATCTTCATCTTCATCTTCACGATGCACCTGTGCAACACAACACAACACACCTGAGGTTCTGAGATAAATGGAACAGATGAAGCATCATCATCGCTGCAGCCACTTGGATTAAAAACACAGTCTATTTACAGTTATGAGGCCTGTAACACGAAGCAGGATTTAGAGTCAGCAAAGTACCTTCAGGGTTAACTCTGGGCTTTAGGTTCACTTCTTACCGGGACGGATCGCCATGTTCACTGATGAACACATAACCTGCTCCGGAGCAGCAGTTATTCTGATGGTGCGTGTGACAATGTTTCAGCTTTATTGTCAGATGAAACGCCGACGGTGTGAAAAATACTTGAAAATGTTAAAAAATAGAGTGTATATATTGTCTCATCATACATTCATATTCACTTATGTGTGTTGGCTTCTTGATCCGTGTGTTGCAGTGTGACATGTCGGACTCGTGTCTGTCAGTCACAGACTGGATGCAGCGTTACTCTGATCCGGTTACGATAATGTTTGCTGTGGCTGATTTTAAGTTATGGAAGGAAACCTTCTTACTGCTGAGAATTATGTTTTTATTTGGACTCAAGTCTGTTTCACACCGTCGGGGTTCCAGCTGAAAAACTCAGAATACATCAAAGCAACACATTACGTTAACAGAATACAAACGTGTTATTACAGTCAGATCTATTGTGCTCTAGATGAAACAGTGATATTACAAATCAATTAATTTACACAATCACACATTCTGTGATTTCCTGCCAGCTATCCTTCCTGCATTTGGCAGTTTAAACTGTGTTACTTTCAGTCTTATTAATTTACCCTGAAGATACACTAAAGATACACTAAAGATGCCCTAAAGATGCCCTAAAGATGCCATAAAGATACCTTAAAGATACACTAAAGAAACCCTGAAGATACACTAAAGATACACGAAAGATACACTAAAGATACACTAAAGATACACTAAAGATACACTAAAGATGCACTAAAGATGCCCTAAAGATGCCCTAAAGATACCTTAAAGATACCTTAAAGATACACTAAAGAAACCCTGAAGATACACTGAAGATACACTAAAGAAACATTAAAGAAACATTAAAGATACATTAAAGATACATTAAAGATACATTAAAGATACACTAAAGATACATTAAAGAAAACCTAGAGATACCCTAGAGATTGTCTGGGTATGTTGAACTCGCTTCGTGTTACAGGCCTCTCTTCATTCTTATTGTAAACTAGTGAAATATCACAAGCACAAGCGTTTGATTGTTCAGGTTTAAAACTCACAGCGTTGACATCCATCTGTGTTTTGTTCCCTGAAAAGACAAAAAAAGAGTTGACTTAAGTTTCCACTGTGTACATCTTATTTATAACAATGACGTCTGTGAATGTTCTCACCTTTAGTTCTCTTCCATACGTAGACC